TTCCCCCAGACATAAATATGGAATCCTGACACCATAAAAATCAGTGCCTGAGTGATTCCCCCTCCAAGAACACTACAATCTGACTCACATCTTCATTTCAGAAGCCATCCCTGCTTTATCCAGCCACACGGGTGGCCCCCACAAGTGGCCCAGCAGCTGAGTGTGACCGGTCGGTGCATGGCTCATCAGCCAGAAAGCAGCAACGAGCCCAAGTCACTGCCCCTGGGAAAGGCAGAGTTAATTATACCACTCTAAATGTTCAGGTCTACGGAGCTCTTCATTTTACTTTATCCCCCTTCCTTTATTCTTTTTCTTTTTTTTAATCACTTAGATTTTTAAAAGACAAAAGGAAGACACCATGTGAAAACATCACTATGGAAACATCACGGGCTCGCTTGCACTCGCCTGCCAAGCGACTACCTAACCCAAGTTTTACATCCTATTGGATCACTGTTGGCCATCTGCTCTCCTTCAAACTTCTCTGAATTCCTTATTTCCCTGAAAAGTTCATTTTTAGAAAAGGAGGGAGGAGGAGGCAAGGGGAGAATCCGGCGTTCTTGGCTAGAGGAGAGCTATTGTGAAAAAGGAAGATAAACTCACTTTGGGGCAGCCCCTTAAAAAGACAAAGATCCGTGTTTTGCAAAGTAATTTCATAGAAAATACCCCGTTTCTAGATGGACTTTAACGATAAGAGTATATATTGGCAGCCACAAGGCAAAACAAACAAACAGCTGCTTCTAGTACTCTGGCACTAATTGTCTTCCTCTCCCCTGCTCTCATTTAGCGTCAAATGTATTTTCTTCTAAAATGTAGCAGTTACTGCCTACACTGGAGCTGTTGGCTGCAGGCTCCCCAGCCTTGCTCCAAATAAAACACAGAAATAGATTTCCTGCCAAGCACCGGGGAAGTTTGAAGACTTCAGTTTTTAAAAACATAATCTTTTTTATCAGTGCCCTGAGCCTGCCAAAGGTAATTACGGGCCACGGCGCATTTACATTAACGCATAGGACCTACAGACATTCCGAAGGCTTAATGGAGAAACTCCATAAACGTACGTATCGCAAAATAAATTAATTAAATTAAACTGTCATGTAAAGATATCACTTAATTTCGCGGAGCGGAAGACGCTCTTAATGGGAATGGAATGGATCAGCGAGCATTTCAAAACCCCAAGCTATAATTTAAATTCAGGCTCTCCTCTGGTGCGCGAGTCACAAGACGTATTTATTATAGCCTTGGATTGTCAATTGTAATGGGTTTAGCAGAGACAAAGCCGGGCTGCTTTGGCTTCCCTTGCCCTCCTGACTTGGTTGGACGTATTTCCATGTCGGGCTATCGACGAGCAAACCGAAGGCTGCAATAAAACCCCCTTTGCCAGCGATGAACTGGCCCAAACGCAGTCCAAGGTAAATGTGAAGGCTGAAGCCTCTGTATTTATTTATCAAGCAGCGAGGGGGAAAATGGTAACGCGAAGCTTTCGAGCTTCTTTAAATAAACTGGGTGAATCTATTTACCGCCGCTCTTGGGGCCTGCGATGTGGCAACCCAGACACAGATGGATAAAAATAACTGAAAGCGCCGTGCGAATGAATAGCATTATTTAGAAGCTGCTGCTCTGAGTTCTCCAGGTGGCACTAACAATTGGAGCTGTTGCTCTTCCAACGACTGGAGCCAAAGCCTGAGACCTCTGTCCCCACTGAGCAGACGGCAACGCTTCTTCCAGGCTGCGTGAGACCCACCAGCTCCCGGGGTGCCTCTGGCATGGTTTGCTGCAGGGTTTTATTTGGTAGCAACGATTACAAACCAAGCCACGAGCAACTGCCTTCTCCTTGCTGAATCAGCATTCCAAGAACGGCTCCCTTCTTTTTTCTGACGTTCTTCTGAAGTTCACTTTCTGATCTGGAGCACTGCAAACTGGGCAGCTCAGCAGGATGCAACTCTCATGGCAGCCTCCTGCCTTCTTCCAGCCATGGAGATGTTCCTCTGAGCCTCACCCTAGACCTTTCTACCCAGGATCTCCACCGTTTCTTGTGGAAGGCTCAAGTTTGTGTATCTGACAAACTCAAACCTCGCGGTCAGGAAGAGCTGCAGCCCTTCAGAGAGGGACAACTGCCCCAGGCACAGCTCTGAGGGTGGAGGCCAACAGGACCAGCCCCTGAGGGCTTCTCCTGCCACCAAGGTGGGAGCCTAGCCGTTTGGAAGAGAAGACACGACCACGAGCCTGCCAGCTGTGGAGACATCACACCATGGCTCTGAGCAGCGGCTTCTCTTCAAACACAGGTTAATTTCCTTATTTTATAACAATACCTGCACATCTACACTTGCTCTTCCTCACATAAGTAATCAGATTTTAAGACGAATGGGCTACATTTTTGCTTTCAGTGTAATCTTTTAGCAGTTTGTTCCCCAAGCTAATGATTATACTTACACCACACACCCAAATATGCCCCTTAATACTAGACTGGGATTTTTTTCTCAAGCATTACACTATACAGTAAACAGAAGCATCTTTTATAACTTTTCTCTAAGACAATAGCTTTGAGCTTGCTATGCCATTCCTTTCATCCTCCTTTTCTAACACACACATTATCACTCTTGATCACTCTTAGGAGAAGTTTTTGTCTTTGTCACCCTCTTGAGTCTCCTTTGGCTTTGAGGGGGACTCAAAACTGTTTTCTAAGTGACAGGTTACTACTGACTGCTGTGACACAACATTTCTGTTCCGTTTCTAAGGACTGAAGAATTGGCCACTGCTTTTGAAGTGTGTTGTGTCCTACCACCAGTAATCTTTCTGCTTATTTACACGGCTCCTACTGCACGCGACCCAAATGCCAACACCATCCTCCTTTGAGAGAAGGCAGTGGGGAAGGAAAGTGTCCTCAGCCCCTCTGCAAAGGAACTGGAGCCCAGAGATTTAGGTCCTGGTCCTAAACGATATGTGGGCTCCAATTCCTGCTGCCACGGGGGTCAGTGACAAACCAGGAGTTCAGCATCTTCCTTTCATTTGGGCTTCAGTAACTTCTTCAAGGTTGAAATTGAGAACTGAATGCATGTATCTGTATAGCTAAACAGCTTCTATCAGCAGCCAAACACCACAACCACAGGCGTGACCGTTTCTTTCTGATAAAGCCATCACAGTCATTAAAAATGGTCTCCTAATTAGCTTTTCTGGCTGAGCTGTCTGGTTCATGAGCCCTCCCAGCTCCAAAGCTGAGGAAACCCACACAGAGAGTCACAACTTCTGCTTCTGGAAAGGAAAAGGCTCAAAGGGTGCTGGAATAGCCAGGAAAATGGGGAAGGGTCACAGGCATCAGTTAAAGGGCTTAAGCTAAAGGAATACCATTTCTAAACTCTGAAAATAGCTATTACTGTAAAAAAGATTCTTTCCCGTGTCACTGTGTAAACAATAAGTAAATATACAAAATGCAAATTCTAAGTTCATAGGAGCAGTGGTGAGAAAGTAATGCTTTTCATGCTCTTTTAAAAAATCACTTTTGGAAGTATTTATTAGGATTATCAGTTTTTATGGTCATAGAATTCTAATTACTCATTTACATTAAAAAAAAATGGTTAAGGCATTTCTCAAATTTCTGAGTATCAGGTGAATAAAATACAAGCAGTTTCATGCTTAAGATAAGTATCCACTAAGAGGTATATAATGAAGATTGAACTGTACTTGTATTCTTAATTCATTAGTGGAACTGTAAGGCCCTCTTCTGGATTATAAATTACTGCACAGGCAAGCAAAGTGCATGGAAATGACAAAGCCACCCAACACTACGAGAAGATAAACAAAAGCTCAGAGAGAGATTTTCTTTGTGCTACATCCAATTTTATCTCCTGCTTTAACTCGGCTCATCTCAGTTACTGTAAATTGTGAGCTGAGAACAACTTCTTAGCGGATCCTTAACCATAAAACATTTCTTATACTCGTATTCCTAAGGGGAGCAGGTGGTCTGAAGAGAGTTGTGAGGCTCTTCTCCAAGTGATGCTTCCTTATGCTTATCAGCAATAGCATATACATCTGAGATACATGGTTCTGCATATACCTGTCTACGTATGTATGTGACTTCCAGGAGTTATGTTTGAAAACCTGGCTTATGCTAGAGGGGGGTGTAAGAAACAATAAAGAACCACTACCATGGTCTTATCTCAAGTCTTTCGAGGATTGTACAATTCCTTATATGCTTTTTGATTAAATATACACACAAGGGCTGTGAAGGTCTTACAAATGTCACCTTCCAAGAGATTTATTTGGATTTGCCTAAGCAAACTGTTACTATTGAAAAGCAAGATGCTTCTCCACAGGCAGAAAGAAAGAAAATATTCTAGAATGTGCTGTACAGAATGGTGACATTTTAATGAATGGGCAGCAGGTCGAGGGAGGTCATCCTGCCCCTCTGCTCTGCCCTGGTGAGGCCCCATCTGGAGCACTGGGTCCAGTTCTGGGCTCCCCAGTTCAAGAAGGATGGGGAACTGCTGGAGAGGGGACAGCAGAGGGCTACAAAGATGGTGAGGGGACTAGAAGATCTCTCTTATGAGGAGAGGCTGACGCACTTGGGTCTTTCTAGTCTGCAGAAGAGAAGGCTGAGGGGGGATCTGATCAACACCTATAAATACTTACAGGGTGGGTGTCAAGAGGATGGGGCCAGTCTTTTTTTCAGTGGTGCCCAGTGACAGGACTAGACGTAACGGGCATGAACTTGAACATCAGAAGTTCCATCCAAACATGAGGAGGAACTTCTTTACAATGAGGGTGGCAGAGCCCTGGAACAGGCTGCCCAGGGAGGTGGTGGAGTCTCCAGAGCTTCTCTGGAGATGTTCAAAACCCGCTTGGACAAGTTCCTGTGCAAAACCTGCTCTGGGTGACCCTGCTCTGGGAGGGGGGTTGGACTAGATGATCTCCAGAGGTCCCTTCCAACCCCCTATCATTCTGTGATTCTGTAATGGATCCATCTGGCTGTAAACAAGTGAACTTGAGACATAAAAACACACAGCCACTTATTCTTCTGCTTGGTCATGTATGATAACAAGAAATCACATACATGGAAATGCAGGAACAGGTATTATCCTACTAGTAAAAACTGTACAGAACATTATACATAGTTTCATTGGACTGTATATTTTAAAAAAGAAGGACACTGAAGAAACCTTCATGCATAATTTCTTGGTTAGCTTCTGTCTCCCATCAGCGTTGGGCTACTTACGATTGTCCTTTTTCCGTACTTTCGATTTTGGTGCTGCCAAGGAGAAAAAGAAAGGGAGAAAAACCATCAGAAGTGAATTACAGTAACACCAGTGCCAGCATTCTTTTAAATGAGGTTGGGATCAAAATGGATCCATTAATGTCAAACCTACCATTGGGATTTTCTTGTCTGTAGAAAGCTTTTAACATTTCCACGGCTTCTTTGGCACGATAGCCAGAAACACACTGTTCAAATTAGAATGATGGTGATGAGCACATCTGAGAATAACGTATTCTCTGCTTCACAGTAATGCCTTAAGTACAGAATCATTGTCAACAACTGCACTGTCAATGCCACTAATTTAACATGTACCTTTAACTATTTGGGGCTCAGAAAATCTCCGTTGCAGGTAGAATACCTCATACATTTGAAGTTGAGGCTTAGTAGAGTAAATAATTTCCCTACTAACCTAAAGTTAGGCAAAACAAACTTTCTTAGTAACTTATGAAAAAATTTAATGCCATTTCCTTTTTTTTTTATCGTTATTAATGTGTTTCTAACTTACTTTGTATATTCTTCAAGTACTTGGCAATGTAAGAGACATACACCAAGATATTTCTAGATAAGATTCCTACCAGACAATGTATGTCCACACACTTATTCTTTATTCCTAACAGTCACCTCTCAGACCCTTGTTGTCTTTCCAGAGTACTTTTCCAGGCCCTAAAAATTAATGACAAAGAGTTTAAATATCACTAACTCTAAACGAATCTCTGCCCTCACTGGAAAACAATGAATTACACCTATACATCCCACTGTAGTTGCTGACAGAAACAAAGGGCTTGTAGTAGCAAGAATCTTCTCCTTTCTTTCTCCTGAACGTATAGAAAAATTAAATACCATGTGCCAATTTTAGCAAATGAACACTCTTCCAGTACCAGCTATACAAATTCATTCAGATCCTTATCTCACAAACACCCCAACAGAAAGATTCTTAATGTTTCTACACTGAACTGCCAAACACCATTGTTTTTCTGAGCCTCGAGTGCTTATTTACAGTGCTGAAATATATTACTTATTTTTTACATACACTAGATCAGAAATGCTAAGTGTGGAAAAGATCCCTAAGAACCCTAATCAGTATCTTTAAGGCAGGATCAGCTACAACTATGTATAATGTAATGAACATACTGCTATAATAGTCTGTATGTAAGCATAGGTATACGTATACTAGTGTAATGCTGTAAAATGTCTAGATTTATGTATTCTATACCTCCACTGAATGCTTATCCAGCCTGTCTTAAATGACAAAGATGCCTCAATCTCCCCAGACATTCTGTTCCAGTCCTTCAGTACCCTTCAGAAAGTTTCCTAATATCTAAACTAAATCTCCTCTGCTACTTTTGCAGTCCATGTTTATTTTGGGATTTGAATTACATGAAGTAGTTCTAGACTAATGCATTTTACTTCATATAGGGATAGACTGGGAGCAAAAATACAATCACTTCCAGTGGCTCAGCTGAAAAAGAGTGACTTAGTAAGTTGCTGTAACTTGATCTTTAATGATTATGTGTTTGTACATTCTTGAGTTTAAAATAACTTTCCCCTCATCTCTCCCTGCAGCATAGCCTTACTGTTCCAAGTATTCCACATCTTTTAGATATATTTATTCCCTACCTTGTTCCACAAGTATAATTCTTTCCTCCTCGATGCATCCTTTTAACTATTTTAAGACTGTCATCAGGCTTCCCCTCAATTTTCCTTAATTTAAGGACTGAATTTTTTTACGTTACTTTCTTGTAAAGCCAGGTTTCTTTGACTTCTGGTCATCTTTCATCTGAGTTCTTTCAAACTGATGCATAACATTCTCAAAGCACGGTACCCTCGCTGAAAACCAAAGGGAAACAGATTAGAGCTTACTTCAAACGGTTCTCCGGAGTCTACCATATCATCGGATGAGATGCTCAGAACTGAGCCACAGCCTCCAAATCGCTCATTTCGACAGCCATAGATGACCCGTGGAATTTATGTGAAGGTATTAAGTTAAAGCAAAAAAAAAATTAAATACCATGTGCCAATTTTAGCAAATGAACACTCTTCCAGTACCAGCTATACAAATTCATTCAGATCCTCTTCTCACAAACACCCCAACAGAGAGATTCTTAATGTTTTTACACTGGACTGTCAAACACCATTGTTTTTCTGAGCCTTGAGTGCTTATTTACAATGCTGAGATATATTACTTATTTTTTATATACATTAGATCAGAAATGCTAAGTGTGGAAAAGAACTCTAAGAACCCTAATCAGTATCCTTCTTTAAGGCAGGATCAGCTACAACTACGTATAATGTAATGAACATAATGCTATAATAGTCTGTATGTAAGCATAGGTATACGTATACTAGTGTAATGCTGTAAAATGTCTAGATTTATGTATTCTATACCTCCACTGAATGCTTATCCAGCCTGTCTTAAATGACAAAGATGCCTCAATCACCCCAGACGTTCTGTTCCAGTCCTTCAGTACCCTTCAGAAAGTTTCCTAATATCTAAACTAAATCTCCTCTGCTACTTTTGCAGTCCATGTTTATTTTGGGATTTGAATTACATGAAGTAGTTCTAGACTAATGCATTTTACTTCATATAGGGATAGACTGGGAGCAAAAATACAATCACTTCCAGTGGCTCAGCTGAAAAACAGTGACTTAGTAAGTTGCTGTAACTTGATCTTTAATGATTATGTGTTTGTACATTCTTGAGTTTAAAATAACTTTCCCCTCATCTCTCCCTGCAGCATAGCCTTACTGTTCCAAGTATTCCACATCTTTTAGATATATTTATTCCCTACCTTGTTCCACAAGTATAATTCTTTCCTCCTCGATGCATCCTTTTAACTATTTTAAGACTGTCATCAGGCTTCCCCTCAATTTTCCTTAATTTAAGGACTGAATTTTTTTACGTTACTTTCTTGTAAAGCCAGGTTTCTTTGACTTCTGGTCATCTTTCATCTGAGTTCTTTCAAACTGATGCATAACATTCTCAAAGCACGGTACCCTCGCTGAAAACCAAAGGGAAACAGATTAGAGCTTACTTCAAACGGTTCTCCGGAGTCTACCATATCATCGGATGAGATGCTCAGAACTGAGCCACAGCCTCCAAATCGCTCATTTCGACAGCCATAGATGACCCGTGGAATTTATGTGAAGGTATTAAGTTAAAGCAAAAAAGCAAGCAGGAAGTAAAGCAGGCTGATTTAAGTAGTCATTACGTTTCGCTACAATGCGCTTGTATCTTTCAAACTGGATTAGTCTGCACTACAGTTGCAAGCAGGAAGTAAAGTAGGCTGATTTAAGTAGTCATTATGTTTCACTAAAATGTGCTTGTACCTTTCAAACTGGATTAGTCTGCACTACAGTTCCTCCCTCGTAAAATCAGAGCTTCCATCTGAGTAACGTAAGATGTATGGCTGAAGGGTCAAGGGAGGTCATTCTCCCCCTCTACTCACTTCCATCTGAGTAATGTAAGATGTATGGCTGAAGGGTCAAGGGAAGTCATTCTCCCCCTCTACTCTGCACTGGTGAGGCCACAACTGGAGTACTGTGTCCAGTTCTGGGCTCCCCAGTTCAAGAGGGACAGGGAACTACTGGAAAGAGTCCAGCGAAGGGCTACAAAGATGATTCAAGGATTGGAGCATCTCCCTTATGAGGAGAGACTGAAAGAGCTGGGGCTCTTTAGTCTGGAGAAGAGAAGGCTGAGGGGAGACCTTATTAATGCCTACAAGTATCTCAAGGGAGGGTTGAAGGAGGCTTTTCAGTAGTTCCCAGTGAGAGGACGAGGGGCAACGGGCACAAGTTGGAACATAAGAGGTTCCATTCAAATATGAGGAGAAACTTCTTCACGGTGAGGGTGACAGAGCCCTGGAAGAGGCTGCCCAGGGAGGGTGTGGAGTCCCCTTCCTTGGAGATTTTCAAAACCCGCCTGGATGCAGTCCTGAGTAACATGCTCTAGCTCTGGGCAATCCTGCTTCAGCAGGGGAGTTGGACTAGATGATCTCTATGGTCCCTTCCAACTCTAAAATTCAGTGAAATTCAGTGAAGATGCACATCCAGCCTTCCTCAGGAGAGAAGCATGAATCTCAAAACGGATGCGTGCAAAGCCAGTGTTCAAAACCAGACACTGAACTGAGACTAGCTCATATCTCTAAAATCTATTTTTACGTCCCTAAGAGAAATTGTTGTTTGTCATAATTGCACCATTTCTCTTTCATTCTTGAGTATGGACTCTCAGACCACAAGGTGGTACCCCCAATGGCTTTCCCTGACAGCGTCAAGCCCCTCTCTGTGGACTCACTGCCAAAAGAACAGCATTTTGACATATGGTTTCCCAGCACGAATAAGCCAGAAAGGATACTCATCAGGCGCAAGGCAGCTGCACACATGATGCAAGGCTCCACAGTCACGTACAGCACCGACTGGGGAAACACTTCTGTGTAATCTCTGTTGTGTTGCTTGCACCACTCCAGGACCCGGTCGATCGCCACCATTTCTGCATGTCGAGTAGCCTAGGAGATAAAAATAAAACATTTTCTTAAAAGTTGGAACTGATTCACAGCTTTAAACTTCTCACTTGTACAGATACAAATTAAATAAAATGCAATGTCGTAAAATTATTCTTTCGAGTCCAAGGCACGATGGCCTAACATCTGACTTATTAATAATGCATTTATTTTCACTTCTGTAATGCTTTCTTGAGAAGATTCTTTTTAGTACACCCCTTTGCTGCTTGAACCTGCAGAAGAAACTTCATGCAGCCCAAACTGCAGAAGAAATACTCAGGAAAGAACACGTTCAACCTCAATCTCTCATGCAGCACTCACAAGGTCCACAAGTGCAAACCTGTCTTCTCTTCTACCTGTTCCCAAGCAGAGGAGTCTGCTCAGAAGTTCTCCTCTCTCTGTCGTGCCAGCACAGCAAGACAAGATGTGAGAGCTCTACTTGAGGCTTAAGAGCCGCACAAGTAATAGGCAGGGATTGCAGCATATGCCTGATTACAAAAAGACAGAAGAATATTGATTTCTTTTTTTCTAATCCAAGATGAGTGAACAATGAGTATCTCAGAGGTCACAGCAATAGATATGCCACAAAAACCTGAACAGAAGAAACGTTGACCTTAATTGCAGAGACACAAAACCAATCAGTAATGTCCCAGTATCTGGAATGTCTGTGGCAGCATGTTTTACCAATCAAATGTCACAGCAAAAAATATCACAAAGTACTAGTTATGAAAGGACTCTCCAGTTACAAAGCCTGATGCTTATTTGCATTAAGGCTGTTAGTATTTTCTTTCTTTTTAATCCATTCTGGAAAAATGATGGTTTTGACACAGGCATTAGACTAAGACCTAACCCAAATTATACCTCTGCTACAGATGGCTTTATGTGACTTCAGGTAACCTCCTCTCAATACATGAACTTGAGTTAATGTTCCAGCACTATGAAGATCTGTGGGGATAACTGTGCAATGTACAATATATAGCAAGGGAAGACAGTTTGTGACCTCTGAGACACAAACCTGGCTTTTTGACTCCTGAGCACTAATTGTAAGCCTATAAGCAATAAGGCTTCATTACTGGAGGAAATCACACCTCTAACCCATGACCCTGCCTTACACTGAGTACACCGAGCAGCTTTCAGGCCTCTGCTGATCTTGGGAGGAAGAGTCAAGAAAAGCCACGCAGCTGCTGTAAGTCATATCAGCTTCTGTGGCAATAGAAGACAGCTATGAAAAAGAGATTATACTAATTTAGCATATTGCTACATCCCAGTACATCTACATCTTAAGTAATACTGGTTTGGTCATCTCACCTCATGCAGACATGGGAACACCGGGACAAGTTCACCAGAGGGTGAGAAAGGATTAGCCAAGTTACAGAACACTCTTTGTACAAACCAGACTACAGCTCCTAAATCACCAGGTACAGTTATTCCTTTTCCAAGTTAAGATGACTATGGTAGAAGTTTAGAAAAATCAAGAAAAATGTGGAAAAGCAAAGAGTAAATTGTGATTTACTCTCTCTCATAACAAGCGGGCACCCAATGAAATTACCAGGCAGCAGATTTTAAACAAACAAAAGGAAGTACTCTTTCACAAAGCACGTAATTAAATTGTGGAACTCATTGCCACAGGATGCTATGGAAGCCAAAACCATAAATGAGTTCAGAAAAGGTTTAGACAAATTCAGGGAGGATATGTGCACAGACAGCTATCAGAAACAACGATGCAGATACAGTCTCGGGCTCTGGAAGTCCCAAAGAGATGCAGAAGTGGAAAGGATGCGCAAGGGGAAGGTTTACACTAATCTCTCCTCATTTCTTGAGCTCCCTCCTTAAGCATCTGCCACAGGTCCCTCTTAAAGACAAGACATGGGGGAAAAAACTGACCACCGATGTTATTTGAAGCTACCAGATAGCCTTTTTTATTGACTTGCTGTGTGTAAAATAACATACAAAAAGGATGATTTTCATTTTGAGTCACTGACTCAATTCATAAGCTTCTATAAACCCCGACTGTTTTTTAACTTACCCTGTCTTATACGTTATTTTAAAGCCAAGAAAAAAGCAGGTAAGAGTAGTGAGGGAAAAAGAGAATTGTTAAGAGAGTGGCAAATGGTGTTCCAAGGAGAAATTATTTGAAGCTGATGTCAGTGGGGAAAAAGCCTAGAGAAAACCTTGAAATAGTGCCCCAAACTGCAGTGAATGATTTGTAGAATGATTTATATCTTTATGAATAAAGATACCACCACTGCCCCGAGCAGCTTACCTTCTGAATCTTAGACTAGAATTAACAAGTGAGAGCAAGGCGGGGGCAAAGCTCAAAGTTCTATATTAACTCGTGGCCTCATTAGTAATTTCGAAGTGCAAACAATACTTCATTTTCCATTATGGTGTACTGTACTTGCAAGATGGTGTGGGCAAAGACACGTGACCCAACAGGAGATAGCAGAGAATTCTGTATCTATCAACAAAGGACCTAAGGCAGACAGTGTTTTAGCAGGAGGCAAATGATTGCATCACACTGTTGTGGATGGAGTGATGCACTTCAATTGCAAGAGAGAAGCAGAAAAATAGATTTTACTCACATAAAACCGAGTTAACAAAGTTCAATGGTAAATGTGACAGTGGTTTAACAAGATTTGATGGCAAGGTACACTTGATTGTTTACTGCAGAGAGAACAGGGTCAGAGAAAACTGTGAGGGAGACCCTCCCATTGAGTCAAGAGGTTCAGAGAGGACCCCCTTGCGTTCTAAACTCCCTCCCTTAGAGGTGTCTAGGTGTGGCTGGACCCAAACTTTTTTACGTCTAAAAGATTTTATATGTGCAATCATTCACAGAACCACAGAATGATATGGGGTTGGAAGGGACCTCTGGAGATCACCTAGTCCAACCCCCTGCCAAAAGCAGGTCCACCCTGAGCAGGTTGCACAGGAACGTGTCCAGGTGGGTTTTGAATGTCTCCAGAGAAGGAGACTCCACCACCTCTCTGGGCAGCCCCTTCCAGGGCTCTGCCACCCTCAAAGAAGTTCCTCCTCATGTTTGGATGGAACTTCTTATGTTCAAGTTTGTGCCCATTTCCTCTTTCAGAGTTTCTGAGTGCTTATTCCCAATTCATTTACTGAGTATCTGAGGTGATAAGGAGTCTCTCAACCTCAAGAAGTACCCTTGAGAGGCATCCCCACTCAAGGGGAGATCCTGGTGTGCAGCCAACGCCGTGCAGGAGACCTCAAAGGGCTTTTGGGCTGCTCCCTATTTATGGGGGTAAGATAATGGACTCATCATCGTATTTACATACCAGCTGCAGATGTCTGTTTCTTCCAAATTTGGCTGGAGTCAGACACGGACCAGCACTGTGATTTATTGCCATGAATTAGCTGTTGGTTATAGTGTTGTTATCTGTCTCCCCCAAATCCACTCCGAGCTGGATGCAGCCATCATGACCAGATGCATCCATCACAACCACCACTGGTGGTTATCGCTCAAGCAGGGTTATGGGAAAAGGTCGTATCGGGACAGGGGGGAGCACACCATCACACACACATGGGAATAAAGATGCCCCAAAAAAAAAGATTTCTAATTTGGAAGGGTCAGCCGTGCAGGAGACCTCAAAGGGCTTTTGGGCTGCTCCCTATTTATGGGGGTAAGATAATGGACTCATCATCGTATTTACATACCAGCTGCAGATGTCTGTTTCTTCCAAATTTGGCTGGAGTCAGACACGGACCAGCACTGTGATTTATTGCCATGAATTAGCTGTTGGTTATAGTGTTGTTATCTGTCTCCCCCAAATCCACTCCGAGCTGGATGCAGCCATCATGACCAGATGCATCCATCACAACCACCACTGGTGGTTATCGCTCAAGCAGGGTTATGGGAAAAGGTCGTATCGGGACAGGGGGGAGCACACCATCACACACACATGGGAATAAAGATGCCCCAAAAAAAAAGATTTCTAATTTGGAAGGGTCACATAGGTTATAAGCAAGAAAATTTTCAGGTTGGTCTGAGGCAAGACTGCGAACCAGCAAGTGTGGGAGCTGCCAGAGGGAACACAGCACTGGCACAAGCTTGGGGATGTTACTGCCAGGCTGCTGGAAACCCATGTCTTACCCAGACATTTGTTGCATTATTGCCCAATGAATATAAATAATGTCATGCCTCACTATTTAGAAATGCTGATGCCACAGCCAGGCTCCTAAAAAAATAAAATAAACCAAACACGGCTGTATACAAACTCCCTTCTTCCAACAGCAACTTTTTGCAAAAGAATGTGATGATGATCAATAATTTTGCAAATAACTTCCACAGAGTAAGTGGCAGTATCTCTGACATTAACGTATTCTGTTACGGACACACAGGGCAGAAATAAAGAAGTAAAGAATATCAGGAACAAATTCTTTCCTGTGAGGGTGGTGAGACACTGGAAGAGGTTGCCCAGAGAAGCTGTGGCTGCCCCATCCCTGGAGGGGTTCAAGGCCAGGCTGGATGGGGCTTGGAGCAACCTGGTCTGGTGGGAGGTGTCCCTGCCCAGGGCAGGGGGTTGGAACTCAATGATCTTTAAGGTCCCTTCCAACCCCAACCATTCTATGATAAAGAATGCAGGGTGACAGGAGATAGACTGAAAAAAATCAGAGCGCTTTTGACAACTAAATCTTTTTGCCAAAACAAGCAGTTTAGGAACAGAATGGAAGAGAGCATAAAGAAGACACTACCTGCTCCTTACTCCAGTCAGTTAGATCAGAGGGTGCAGGTACTTACTTAACCAGAAGACAGGGAATTTATTTGACGCAAAGCCTAGTGGCAAGTTGATTCCAGAGCAAGGGCAAAATTGTAGAGGAGGACTGCAGATTTACCTGGATAAGTGATCCATTTTTAAAAGTGGAAAGAAAGTTTGCAAGGAGTGAAAAAAGCCAATAGCAAAGACTAAAGGAAGAATCACCAAACGTCAATCTTGTAAAACAAATTACATAAAAAGTAAAAATGTCTTGAGACAAAACATGTGAAAAAGGAGTTAGAACTACTACAGTGACCTCAGTACTATTCCAAAAAAAACCGAGTATTTTGCCTTTTCAATAAAAATGATGTGGAGACTGTGGTCAAAGACAGAGTAAGAGTATGGAAGCACAAAGTACAGTGTATGGGATACAGAATTAGAATGCTGAAATGATGGAATTACCTAGGGCGTGGAAGAGGGATGAGGGGGAAAATCCCAAGTTGATGGATCATCTCCATCAGAAAAATACTAAGGAACTTGTGCATGAGCCTGCCAATCCCATAGCAATGCTTTTGAGATATAGATAGATAGATAGATAATCACGTGACTGAAATCTGTCAGTAGGAAGGACTTACAAACCTGACAACTACAGATCCAGGATAGTCTCAACAGCAAAACATGCATCATAACAAACTTTGACAGTACTATTATAAGGACTAGTCTATGAAAGGGAAATGAGATAAAATACGAAGTGGATTTACATAAGACAGCTGACACTAAATTAACTTAGTAACTTTCTTTGACAAATGTCTTTTCCAGACAAAAGAAACACCAATCTCATCTCCCTGAACTTCTACAAAGCACCCGGCACAGCACAACAGATGAAATTATTGTCAGCCTGGGGAAAACAGCAGAGCACAAGAGATACAAGGTGAGCAAGCAAAGAAGAGAAGTTGCATTAAAAGGGAAAATATTTATCCAGAGGGAACTAATCAGCAAAGATGCTCAAAGATAATTTTGCTTAGATGTTTTCAGTAATGAAATTGCTTTTAACTGGAGAAGCATGGTGTGATGTGTTTTGTTATCAGAAGAGCGAGGGTCAGAGTATGGCCTTGCAGATGGCGAGTAAAAACAAACAAAACAGTAAATGAAGAATAACAAAACAGCATTAAAGACTAATTCTGCTCCAGAAAAGATGGGTGAAGTTATTTCCAGGAAGACTGGGAAGTATTATCGTTATCAAACAAGTCACAAAAGAAAGTCCATCTGGAATAAAGTATATATTCCTGGTTAAGTGAAATCAAGAAAGATGAATCAAAGCTGGAGTGGATGTATGTAAGAATTATTAGAATGAGCACAGAAAGAAAGTCTGTCTTCTGAGAGGAGATTAAATAGCTGGCTTGGGGAAAACAGGGAAAAACAAAAGCCAAAAGGGAGTATGACTTTAAATACCTCCAAGCTATGTAAAATAAAGGATGATACTGGCACGACAACAGAGAGATATAAACAGACTATAAAGAGTTTAAAACTGGAAATCAGATGTTTTCCAGCCATCTGAGGAATAATGTTCTGGAGAAGTCCTCCAATGTGAGGTGGGACAAGAAATGAGTTAGGACCTTGACAAATTTATGATGTCTGCTGGAACTCAATGGTTCAAGAGGGGTTTTATTTTCCAGGATTGTTCTTAAATAATGCCAGAAATCATTAGGAGAAAACTGAAAACAATTTCCTGCATTCAGACTTCCCAAAAACTGCCTCTTTTGTGCTCACATTTTCTTTTAGACTATATGGAGCAATTAAGTATCTGATATAAAATTTAGAAGCACTGAGCACTGACAGCATTTCCAACCACTGTAATATAAATGTTTATGAAAATTAAGCCACAAGAGAACTGAAACTTGAGCTAAACAGAAACTGCAAAAAGAACTGGCTTTCAAAGAAATTAACAGTTTACTGTTTTCAGAATGGATTTTTAAATCAGGCTGCTTGGATTTAAGTACGTACCTTCAGGCAACCCTGATGTTAGTACAAAAAAAGTCCAAAAGCTTCCCTAATATTCTTATATTGATTCCGATTTCGTTATCAGTTCTGTCAGTTATGTTCTGCCCGTGTGGTTTTTACACGGCATGAATATCTCTGGCACAATTTTCCCCAGAAGTGCCTGCTCTCTGTTGTCTGACATGCTTGAGTTGTATTAGAATTATTTTAACATGTTATGGATTTGTCCTGCAGCACAGGTTAGTATAATGATTCATTTCTACTGATGCATTTTTGAGCTTAACTCATTTTCACCATTCATTATCTTTTTGGATTTGAGACACATAAGATAAGTTACGGCCAGATCCCGCAATCAGATCCATCTATACACAACTTCCAGTTGCAACGAATCCCCGCTGGCTTTAATGGGTCTCTCAGGATGTACAAGCTCTAATTTGAGGGCTGAAATTGCGAGCATCGCGCCTAAAATTTACAGGCAATATTTTTAAGAAATAACGCCTTCCTCAAAGAAACAACTTTGCTAAACTGAAGGCGGGACTTTTATCAGCCTAGGCGTTCTGTAACTCTCCACAACTTCACAATTCCTTGTCTTACCCCCACTCTTTCCAAAATAAGACTATTATCCGCCCCGCCGGGGTTGGGGGGGTCACACCGGGCCTGGCCGGGTCTGTGTCCCCGTCCGTGTCCCCCCCAACCTCGGTCTCCCCAACTCACGTTCTTCGTCTCGTTGACCTCGTTCCTGCCCCTGCCGATGGCTTCCCCGTTGTACACCACCAGGCAGCCGACCGGGACCTCCCCGTTCTCCAGCGCCTCGTTAGCCTGCGGGACGGACAGACAGACAGACGGACAGACAGACGGACGGACAAACGAGACAGCCGTTAACGAAGCCCCGTCCTCCCACCCCCGGCGCTGCTGTGAGGGAGGCTGCGGCCCCCCTCAGGCCTCCCCCTCAGGCCTCCCCTCGCCGCGGGACAACCGAGCCCGCCCGCCCGCCTCCCTCACGGCCGGGGGTGGCGGCGGGAGCACCCCCTAGGCCCGCACTGACCACATCGAGGGCCTGGTCCATCCAGGCCAAGGCCGCCGCCTCCTGCTCCCCCTTCTCCTCCTCCGCCATGGCCGGCACGGCGGGAGCGCGGGCGGTGTTTCCGGGGGGCCGGGCCGGGCCGGGCACCGCGGGAGGAGCCGGTGCCTCCACCGCCCCTTCCGCCGACGCGGGGAGGCGAGGGGCGGCCGGGCCGGGCCGGGAGCGCAGGATGCTCCGGTCCCTTTGGAGTTTCCTCAAGCGGCACAAGAAGAAATGCCTCGTCCTCGGCACCTTCCTCGGCGGTGAGTGCCCGGCAGCTGGGCCTGAGGGGCGGCGGGCACCTCCCCGGGCTCGGCCGCGGGGCCTCCCCGCTGAAAGCGCTCCCGCTTCTCGCCGGGGAGGCGGCCCCTGAGCCCGACGGCCTGCCCCCGGTAGTCGGACGGGCTCCCCGCTGTCAGGGCAGCCTCTGCTCGGCCTGACGGGGCCGGCGGGGTCCGAGAGGCCTCCTCCGTGGCTGTGGCGCAGGGGGCTCCGCGGAGGCCTGGAGCGGCCCCGGCCCTGGGGGAGCGCGGGGGAGGGAGGGGGGTCCCATCCATAGCGGGGAAAATCCACGCATCGTCCCCTGAACCCCCAAACACGGGGGGGTCACCTCGCCCCGGGGGGCTCCTAGGGCCGGCGTTGGTTTGAAACAAGGTTTAACAGGGCAAAGAGCAGCTGGTAGTTGTGTTAGGATGGAGGCTGAAATCCTGCACTTTTAAAAGTGACTCCTGCGTTGAGGTGAATTGTAAACCAGCTGCAGACCCAAAACTTCCCTGGAGAGGAGGGTTTGTGTTAATCATTCAAGCCTTTCTTTCTCCCTTAAGGCTCCTGTCTAACCTGTAGGGTGGTTCTGGTCTGGTGGTAGTTGTGTTAGGATGGAGGCTGAAATCCTGCACTTTTAAAAGTGACTCCTGCGTTGAGGTGAATTGTAAACCAGCTGCAGACCCAAAACTTCCCTGGAGAGGAGGGTTTGTGTTAATCATTCAAGCCTTTCTTTCTCCCTTAAGGCTCCTGTCTAACCTGTAGGGTGGTTCTGGTCTGGTACACTTCTCCTTTCCTAGGAGTTGTTATTATTATAGGGTTATTTTCAGTCGGAATTGGATTTAAAATACCGCCTTGGATCTGTCTCTGTTTAGTAATGAGGTGCATATCTGTGCAGCTGGAGATTAGATACTCCTCTGAAGATAGAGCCATGTCTTTGCATGCTCAGCCATCAGATGTACTTCTATCTTATGCAAATGGTACAGAATTAAACATTGCAGAGTTGCTAAGGAAAGTTGGTATTTGTTTATACCCCCTGGAACTTGCCTGAACGGTTAAATATTTTTCTCTTGCGTTTAGGTGAGGTCTTTTGTGAAGGTGAATTGTATATACTTCTGACTTGCCTTGGTGGTTGTGTCTTCTGCACCCTTTCAGCCTGAATTTCTTCTGCGTTTTTTTCCAAGTGATGATTTAATACACAGTAATAGGTTAGATGATGATTACTGAAGTCAGACCGCTTCACCCCTTCACCTGCAGGTTTTCTGACTCTGCAAGTACAGCAGAACGAAAAGTTTACCAATTTCTGAGCCACCACGCTTACAACCCACCCTGTTAAATAAACAGATTTACTTTGACATACCAGGCTGTAACCTGCAAGCTGTTCCCCCCTCCCCTTCAGCTGTCTGTGTGAGAGTGGTGGGTGGACAAATGGGAATAGTAAAAAACATCAGTTGTCCTAGTTTCAGCCAGTAAATGTGGATCAATGTCCGAGTGGCAAAGGAAATATCGGGGAGGTTGTGGCTTTTGGTAGTCCTCAGCCTGCAACCCGAAATTCATCGTGTGTAGACAGCCCTCTGCCAGCCTGCAAACCGCTTGAGTGTCACTGAATTTGCAACTTCTTTTCTTATCTGTCACTTTTTTAGTAAAACACTACTGACTGCATGAAGTCACTTTCAAAATAGTGGTGGGTGGACAAATGGGAATAGTAAAAAACATCAGTTGTCCTAGTTTCAGCTAGTAAATGTGGATCAATGTCCGAGTGGCAAAGGAAATATCGGGGAGGTTGTGGCTTTTGGTAGTCCTCAGCCTGCAACCCGAAATTCATCGTGTGTAGACAGCCCTCTGCCAGCCTGCAAACCGCTTGAGTGTCACTGAATTTGCAACTTCTTTTCTTATGATTGGTGCTGTTGATGTACAGTTCAGTGTCACTTTTACTAAAACGCTACTGACTGCATGAAGTCACTTTCAAAATAAAGTAATTAGGGACTAAAATATAGTTGTTTAAAGTATGACCAATCAAAAAAAACAAACCAAACCAACCCAAGGTGCTCCTCTTGTAACAAGCATTTCAACTTCTTACTGAAAATATTGAACTACGCTCTCATTGCCTGTGTGGCGTCAAGTACCTGTTTCCTCAGACCGTGTTGTGTTTGAGGGCTATAGAGAATTCCTGTTTTTTTGTATTTGAGACTCTGCAGTTAATGGGGGTGTCTGCGAGCAGGAGAAGGTCATTAGCTGCCACCAGCTGCAATGTGCACCGTGATATTTTAGGGCAGCCTGGGAGATGGAGGGATTTACTGAAGTGCTGCACCACAGTTGGTCTGCAACTGAATCTTGAGTGCTTTGGCCATCTACGTATTAGTTATGGATCAGACCTTAAAGTAACTCCAGGAGCTGTGTTAATGCCACCACCGATGAATCGGAGCTCTGAGGCCCACGAAGGACTCTCCTCCAAAAAATACTGCCTAATGTTGGAAGGCAGAAGGCAACTTCACATCACTGCTTTTACTTGAAGACAGAAGATTTGAAAGTGGCTGAATCATTTAAGAAAAGCATCCAAATCTGCTGATTTAGTATCAGAGACTGGAATCTACGTCTCTGGTGTTTGGGTTTTTTTTTTAAGAGCTGTAGCTGCGTTTTCTGGGAAGCAAGATGCAACAAGGAGAATGGGACATCATAGGGTTTAATGATTTTATAAGTCTTTAACTGGCACATGGTCAGAGATTGATGTGAATATTTAATGATTCTTGAGACAGTGCAGAAGCATCTCTAGGTTGTTATTGATACAGTGTTGTATCAGTGTTGTGTTACTGAAGGATTATTGCATCAAAATGTGAGTTGGTTGGTAGCCTTTCCTCTGTTTAATGACGCAGATTTCTTGTGTATTATCAGTGGCTGTCATTCTTAGTGTCATTCCTGTCAATCCCAGCACCACAACAGATTTTTCTGCTTATGAAGGTGCAAAACTCATAAAATAAGAGCTGAAGTTGGGGGGAAAAGCAACTGCAATAGGTGCAATTTTTTCCTTAACCATAGAGGAGGGTTGAGAAGACCTCAACTTAGCAACGACCCTGTGCAAACCCTTTCTTCAGAATTCTGTTCTTTTGATGGTGTGAAGAAGACTTGAATGTCTTAAAGCAAGCAAAATCTACTACTCTGGGATCAAACCCACTAGAAATATTTAAACTAGAGAGAGAACTAGCACGATGGAGCTGCAAGGTGTGTTATGTTCACTTGTTCTTATTGGGTAGGTAAATTTACCTTAAAGTGGTTTCTCAGTGCTCAGAGTTAGAGGTAGATTTCAATGGACGTTACAAAATGATTTGCTGTTGAAATTCTCTTGTTGCAGTGGAAGAACAAGTTCAGGGTGTGTCTGCAGTGTATGGTTGTGATTTCAGTGGTGAATGAATTATTGCTCAGTTTCATCTGTTGCAACCTTGGGCTTGCAGAAAGCCCATTTCAGTGCAGAAGTCTGTCTGCTTAAGCAAAGAAAGTTGTCTTGGCTCGTGAGTGAGTGCAGGGGCGTTAAATAGGTTTTGGTGGGACTCGATGGTGCCAAGAGAATAAGGCCTTAGTGCCTTTTTATTTTAAATATGGTTTTCAACCATAGTGGGACAGTTGTATGTCAGTTGACACAAGGTTTGCTTGTATATTAGGACAAACCACTACTTATAGAGCTGTCAGTGTTCTGGAAGGATGCAGCCTTCTGTGTGTCAGCGCAATTCCTACATAATTAAATTCTTAAAACTGAACATTTACCCTTATTTTTTTTTTCCTGGTGAAAGCATGGCAGTGAGAGTAAAGGTTACATAGAGTTATAAAGAGGTTTCCTGAAAACTGGATGCCTCCTAGTTACGTTATCCCACCCATCCGCTCATCTCCATTCCACCTGTGAAGAGGTGAAAGTGCTGAGGGAGAGCTGAGCCATAACTTCTGGGATGTGAGAAATATTCTACCTGTTCCACACCACTGGCTTGAATGTGTAAGAGCCTGCAGATTTTGTAGGCTCCTTCCATTGCTTACATTCAGGTGGGAAGAGCCTACGCAACGCTACAGCCAAAGAGGGCTACTCAGACAAGTTAGAGCATATTTCTCTCAATTCATTGTTAACAGGTGGATGGAGGTGTTGCTTCCACAGGATATGGGTGTTGTAGACCCCGGGTGTTCCATGGTGTAGGACAGTGTCATGGTTTGAGCCCAAGGAAGTACCACCCAGCTGCTGGCTTACACTGCCCACCCCTCCTTGGTGGGATGGGGGAGAGAATCAGAAGGGTAAAAGTGAGAAAACTTGGCTCTGTGTAAGCTCAGCAATAACAAAATCATCCCTCTATTACCAAATCCAAAACACAGCCCCATACCAGCTACTATGAAGAAGATTGCTGCTATCCCAGACAAAACCAGCATAGACAACCAATACAAATGTAAATACATTTCATTTTATATAACAGTTTTAAAGGTTGCTGGACCTGCAGGTTCTGGCATCAGCTGATGTAGCCTTCGTTTGTGCCACTCGCCTGATTCTGAACCCTCTGTGAATCAGAAGTGTTGGGACTGTAGTGGTTTGTATGGTTTACATCTTAACGAAGGCAGAAAAAGGTTTAAGTAGAAATTATCTTTTTGGGCAGCCTCATTAGTGCTGAATTTTCTGAATTCCTGGTTTTGTATGAAACATATGGGAAAGATGTGAGTATGAAGTTCCATCTATACAACACTTTAGCGAATTGGGCATGAGTAAAATGTTGCTGCTGCCTCTTTTTGCAGAACTCCTGTGCCATTCTGAGAGGTGAAATTGAGTTCTGTTAGCTGTTGTAAACAGTTGGCGTTCACCTTGCTTGTTTATAACAACAGGGATTTTCAGAAAGGCAGTTTAGTTTCTTTCAGGTAGATTAGCTCACTTGACATGGCAGTTCTTGGGATGTGGCTTTCTCTGGTCCAGATTCCAACTCCAAGTGACAGTGTTTTCATGTGATGCATTCAGCCCAGACTTCTTAGGAATCCCTGTTATTTTCAAGTCTCCGGAATGAATGCTACGTGTATCAATATAGATGGACAAGGTGGTTCTAAGGTAAAACGTGAACACACGTGCAGACCAGCCCCCAGGCTGGCAGCTCTTTGAAATGCCCTGTGAGCTGGAGACCTGCTTCTGGTGGGCAGAAATTCATCATCACGAAGCTGACAACGATGACAAGTTGTCATCTTTTGCTGCAGCTTGACATCCAGGCTTTTTTGTTGTTGACTGGCTTTTGCTTAAGCCATGTGGAGGGTGGAACTTTTACCTTGGTCAACTTCTAATGTATCACATTCCCAAAGGTGAAGATGAGACTGGAGTAAATAACATGTACCCCTGGTGATGGGTTCAGGGAAAGGGGGAGAATAAGACTGGTAGGAGCTGGTGTTGCATCGTTCTAGACTAGTGGTTTTTCTGGAAACTCCTGGTTAAACCTGGATGACCACTAATGCGACCTTTGGACCCTCATGAGGCACGGCAGTTCCTAGTACAGAGTCATCACACAGCTTTAACAATCAGGTATTAAGCAATTAGCTGTCTCAATCTTAATTGTAAAGGTGCTGCTGCAGCGTGTCACTCAAGGGCATGTGCATGATTCTTCTCGAATTGTTTGCATGTGTCCTGTGTATGTTCAGGAAAAGTCTTTTTTTATACTTACTACTTTTCTGCCACAAAACCTGAAGTTAAAGGATTTATTGGGGGGTGGGAATAAACGAAAGTGGTCATTTGGACAAGTGAGTATGTGTGAATGTGATGGGAAAAATGTGGGGGGATAAAATGATTGGAAAAATCTTGTGTTCAAAAATTATTTGCTAATACTAAAAAAGTTGTTGCTGTTTCAGTATGTTAGCTGGGGGGAAAAAAAAGTCAGTACCCTGACAGTTGTGTTCCAAATATATATTCCTGGCAGGAGCTGATCATTTTTTTAGAGAAAAATAATCTAATTGTAATTTACAAAGTCTCATTTTAGTTTAGAATTCAGTGGTAAAATTGCATTTTATGTATATGGAACTTGCATCTAATGGGGTGAATTGTCCCCGTGGCAAATGGTCAGTGCCTAAAGGCTGAGGCAAGAGAAAGTGACTTTCCCATTTTTATTTTATGAGGCTTTTGGGAAATAAATGGAAGTGACTGTGGTTGTTCCAAACTGGTCTGGCTTGAAATTGCCTATTAGGAAACATAATGCTGAGAGGAATAGCTGGGGGTTTTTTTGTTGCAACTGTGAATATCGGGGCACAAAGTTGCCAAGCCTTTTGAAATACAGCATTTTATGTATATGGAACTTGCATCTAATGGGGTGAATTGTCCCCGTGGCAAATGGTCAGTGCCTAAAGGCTGAGGCAAGAGAAAGTGACTTTCCCATTTTTATTTTATGAGGCTTTTGGGAAATAAATGGAAGTGACCGTGGTTGTTCCAAACTGGTCTGGCTTGAAATTGCCTATTAGGAAACATCATGCTGAGAGGAATAGCTGGGGGTTTTTTTTTGCAACCGTGAATATCTGGGCACAAAGTTGCCAAGCCTTTTGAAATACTGATGATCGTTTTGGAGAATGTATTAAAAGGTTTTAATGACCTAAAGAACGTAGCTGAATTCAAAATCTTGGGGTGTTTGGTTGGGTTTTGCACTTAAATAAGTAACTGCTGCTACCAGTGCATCCAGGAGGCAGCAAGTGAACCTGATGCACGGGAGATGTTAGGAGAAGGCCTGGATGGAGGGGGAGAAATTCACTCAAAGCAGCTCCCACTGGGCAACGGTGCCAAGGATAAGTATAGAAGATGCAGTGGCAGCAAGTGAACCTGATGCACGGGAGATGTTAGGAGAAGGCCTGGATGGAGGGGAGAAATTCACTCAAAGCAGCTTCCAGCAGGCAAAGGTGCCAAGGATAAGTATAGAAGATGCAGTGGTATCTCAAGGAATGGCTTAGAAAGGGGGACAGAGCTGAGGAACAACAAGAGAAGTGCTGTGGGCAACCTGGAGAAATCCATACTGATGATCCTTTTGGAGAATGTATTGAAAGGTTTTAATGACCTAAAAAACGTAGCTGAATTCAAAATCTTGGGGAGTTTGGCTGGGTTTTGCCCTTAAATAGGTAACTGCTGCTACCAGTGCATCCAGGAGGCAGCAAGTGAACCTGATGCACGGGAGATGTTAGGAGAAGGCCTGGATGGAGGGGAGAAATTCACTCAAAGCAGCTTCCAGCAGGCAAAGGTGCCAAGGATAAGTATAGAAGATGCAGTGGTATCTCAAGGAATGGCTTAGAAAGGGGGACAGAGCTGAGGAACAACAAGAGAAGTGCTGTGGGCAACCTGGAGAAATCTCTGAGGAGCAAATGTAGAGCAGAAATTTTTGGTGGGTCTTTGTGGAAATAGAGGTTCATAGTGTGGGCGATGGGGGATGATCAGATCATCATGGGCAGAAGAGTGAGGGTGGAGCGTAGGAACCAGGCATGGTAAGAAATGAGGGCCATAGTCAAGCCCCACTGAAGCTGAGGTTCCTCCTACAGACAAGTTTCAGGACCAAATGAAGGAAGTGTTGGTCTGTAACATTCTTCTCTTATGTGATTATAAAGACTTGAGTTTTGTCTTCAACTTCTGCTAATTTTATCAAGAGATCTTTTTGGAAAAAAAATTAAATTTTCATCCATCTCCAGACCCGTGCGTTTCAGTTCCTTTTCTCTGTTGTTTTTGTTACCCTACATTTTTGCTTCAGTCCCATCAGCACTAGTTATTCACATTGCAGTGGTACCAAAAATGTCATCTTTGAAAGGCAAGATACCTCCTCTCAGGAAAGTTTCTTACAGTGATTGAAGTCATTACCCTTGACATTTTAATTAATTTTGAAAACATGATTTCTGAATATTACTTTGTCATCAGTATTAAAATACTCAAGACCCACATATCCTAAAAAAACCGCTATGCACCCTTCTGGTTTAAAATCAAAGAAAGGGGCTGGAGGGGCCTTCATCACATTTTTAAAGGAGGTTGTAATATGAAATTCTCTCCGTAGGAGTCTACTTACTGGGAAAATATGGGCAGAAGAAAATCAGAGAAATCCAAGAGCGAGAGGCAGCTGAATACATCGCCCAAGCACGAAGGCAGTATCATTTTGAAAGTAATCAGAGGACGTGCAATATGACAGGTAAGATAAGGAAATACCTACTGTTCTTGATGGGTAGAGTTATTTGGGGTTTATGCTACATATTGACAGAGTGGGAGAAGAATAAGAAGTGTAGGGGAATTCAAAATATTAATTAAATACTAGTGCATAAATAGAGTTGTTCTGCATAATAAAGACGGAATCTGAAGAAAATAGGATTGAAGGGATTTCTAGGGGTCATCTTAACCCTTGGTTTGAACATATACATCTATAATGCATACAAATGAACATGCAGATGATAGGTTTTTGGCACTTCAGGACCCTTCGTTTATTGCCCTAAACTGCATGTGGTATTAAGGAGTGAAACAGCACCCGGATTCAAACAGCACTGAATTTACAGCAGGATTGTTTTATTTATTATAGCACAGCGTTAGTAACCTACACGGAGAGCTTGGGGAGTAATTTTTATTTCCAACTAAGCAGCACGTCAGCCCATTAGTTCCCTACATTTTAACAGTTAAAAGGTACCTGACCAGCTGGGGAGCAAAAAATGAAAATGTTCATATTACACCACTAGTCTTCGGAATTTTGGAGAGGAGATAGTACACTGGAGTTTAACAAAATCCTTGTCATTCTTGTAAATGCAGGCCATTCAAAACTATTTCTATAAAACAAACTGGGCAGCATTTTCTTCTGTTGAAATTTGTAGTGAGTTCTTGGGTGGCTGTAAATGCTTCCTGTGCACTGTTTACCCTGACATCAAATACCCTGGGATTTCATTTTCCTTCTTGGGTGGCTGTAAATCCTTCCTGTGCACTGACATCAAATACCCTGGGATTTCATTTTCATCTTTTTTTCCATTTAGCAGTGCTGGGATTGATTTTTACTGCAAGGACTAAGTTTTTCTTTCATTCTCTAAAGTACCTTCTGCCTGGGAGCATGTTGCTTGTCAAGACTTTTCATATTTTGTTGTTAGTATTTCTTCTGTTCTGTGTGTGCTTGTTTTCCATTTCCTGTTCCCATCATGTAGCAGTGGTTGGACATTGAATATTGTGAAAGTAAAGAATTTTTTCCACCAGCTTTCTTTCGTTTAAAAAGTACCTTCCTCTGGTTCTCTTGTTGGGATAAAACCAAACGTCAGATCTTTTTCTTCTCGTTTGGAGAAATGCAACAGTGTAGGTTTTCCCCAGCTATTCTTCAGGGGAGCTGAAGGCATGGATGTGCAGATGTGAGCACACATCTGCAGCCAGAGACCACACAGACACGTAGCCACGAAAGGGCAGTGCTGTGCCCACACTCACAGGAGGCACCCAGGTGACTGGCACGTCCTGGTGCTCACAGGGTTTTCTGCTTTCCTATTCCCCTTGTCTTTCCAGCTTTGCCTGTTGAGCCCTGGGATTTGCATCGTACAGCAGCTCGTGAGTGAGAGCTGGGGATAGGTTTGTGATGATTTTTTTTTTCTCTTTTTTTCTTTCTTTTAATAACAGTGCTGTCAATGCTTCCGACATTGAGGGATGCCTTAATGCACCAATTAAATTCTGAGAGTCTCACATCCCTTCTTAAAAATAGGTAAGACTGTTTTGTTAATTGTGTTAAAACTCACTTGCTTTGATCACAAGATAAGGTGGTTTTCAAATTATATATTTATCATGTAGAGAGCACGTGTGATCTTAGTTCTCTGTCCTGTTGAGTCACTGGTCTTGAGGTATTTTGAGATCACTGCATAAATATTTTTTGTTATGGTAGATGATTGCACAAGGGGAAATGGTTTTAAATTGGAAGAGGGGAGATTTAGATTAGATATTAGGAAGAAATTCTTTCCTGTGAGGGTGGTGAGGCACTGGAAGAGGTTGCCCAGAGAAGCTGTGGCTGCCCCATCCCTGGAGGGGTTCAAGGCCAGGCTGGATGGGGCTTGGAGCAACCTGGTCTGGTGGGAGGTGTCCCTGCCCAGGGCAGGAGGGTGGAACTAGATGATCTTTAAGGTCCCTTCCAACCTGAACCACTCTATGATTCTGTGTATTTTGGTAGGTATGGCTGGCATTATCCAAACATTGCAAGAAATAATAGTTCTTTTAAGGTGCTGCAGTGAGAGCCACAGTTTTTGTTGAAGTACTTGTTGGCAGATAAAGTCCTCTTTAAGCAGGACAGGGTATCTTGACTGAGTTGTTGATGTTTTGTTTGTGAAAATGCAAAAATCTTATCAAGGTCAGACATGAATAGTAGCAGAGAGTATCCGAGATGAGATTTTAAATGGATGTGAGCTATGAGAAGTATTTTTTCTTTTTAGAAGTAGAACAATTAGGGGCATGTCATACATTAGGAGGAATGCTCCCTTGTCAGAAAACACCTTTGATTTCTTATAACTACAGGAAAAAATAGCGTATTTTAAAATATGTAAAGCATGTAATAGCATACCTTAAAAGTAGAGTAAGCTGCTTGGCATTTGGCAGAGAGTAAAAGTGTTATGTAGGCAGTTAACACAAGGTTTGTGACTCACTCGAGACTGCCTTTCTAGTTCTCCTCCCACTACCTTATTTATGTAGATGTAGTTTCAGCTGACCAGGATTTCATAGATCACCTGTCCAGTCATTGTCTTTTTTTCAGTCAAAAAGCTCCCACAACAAGGCAACATAATGTGATATTTCAAGTGGGAATCGCAGCCTGAACGATGTTTTTGTGACAGATTCTCTGAGAATTTGCAACTGGAATTGAATATTATTTACCCCCAAAAAAAGAAATTAGGGAAAGCTCATTTTAATGGAATATTTACTATATTTTTCATAATGAGAGTTTTACTCGATGAAAAATTAACCTGAAGGAACAAGAAATGTTGTGGATCACCAAATTTGTCTTCTGGACTGTGCAGCAAAGTACTCCAGAAAGGGCTGTAATCCTTTGTTCAGTGGTGAGGACACATAAAGCCTTACTTTGTTCTCTGTAGCCTGCATTCTTTTATCAAAATATAGCTTATGGTCTACCTTGTTTGAGCAGTTGAAACAGTTGCCTGGTATGGTGACACCCTTGTGAATTCCAATAATACTAGTGAAAATAGAAATGAGACTTTTTGATGTTGCTGTTACACGTTTCTGAAAACAAAGATTTTTTTTTTTTAAATGCTGGTTACGTGCAACATCGGGTCAGTGCGGATGTGCATTTAAATGTATCTTACAGTGGAGTTTGTGTCTTAATGCTTCCTTTTTTGACTTACGCTGAGGAAGTTTTTAAGTAAATGCTTGAACTTTTGGAACTGAAAAGCTAGAGGAGGGGTTGGGAAGGCACAGGTCATGGAATGGGCCATAGGGGCTCGTTCCACTTTGAAGCAAGTCTGTGAAGCAGCTCTGCATTCTTGTGCTGCACATGGAGGTGGAGGTTTGTTTTCTTCCCACTTTGGTTTGAGAAGATGAATCAAACGGCTCTCAGCTCTCGAGTGCCGTTGTTGAACATACAAAAGACTAGATGTGGAGATTTATCTTTCTCAGTGTCCCTGAAGATGTATTATTTTCCTCACTTAATCAATGTTATGTGTTACAGATCATGTGATGGTTCCCTTACCTTAAAATCTGTTCATTTCCCTACATTCAAAACCATTTTACATGGTTTTAGTAATTTGGGGCAGCCAGAGGTAGGTTGGGGGTGTTGAAGTCTTCGGTCTTCCAGAGAAACTTTTGAAGAAGGGAGCATCTCAGAGACTCTTGCTCTGTCCGTCCTCCTCCCCTCAAATGGGCTTTATTCCAAACCTGAATCTTCTTGTTTGCATCCCGTTTTGCTTCCATAGCAGACAATGGTTTTTCCAAAGAAATAAATGTGAAATAAAAGCCGAATTTTGAGTAACAGCTGAGTCTCAGTAAATTGCAGCAGTGAAAAAACCATTTCCACTGTTAGGCTTAATACTCACAGCCTTAAACTGTTACCTGGCTGTAACTTTATGTTGTGAGGAGAAACTCTGAGCTCTAGAAAATGTTTTGACATAAATAGGGCTGATGTTGATGTATTGGCTTCTCTTCCTCTCTTCAGTTGGCATGGAGAACTTACCACTCAGAATAAACATGGTTTTGAGTCCTGTTACATAGAATCCATAGAATCATAGAATGGTTCAAGTTGGAAGGGACCTTAAAGATCATCCAGTTCCAACCCCCCTGCCACGGGCAGGGACACCTCCCACCAGACCAGGTTGCTCCAAGCCCCATCCAGCCTGGCCTTGAACCCCTCCAGGGATGGGGCAGCCACAGCTTCTCTGGGCAACCTCTTCCAGTGTCTCACCACCCATATCTTTTATCTATGGAAATGTTACTTTTTTTTAAGTTCTTTCCTTTGTTTTGCTTTAGAATAGCTTTTAAAACCGTTGATTTAGCTTGCAAAGAGAGAAGTCTGTAAAATGTCTTGGTATGTGCCATGGTGTCTCTTCCAGTTATCCTTTCTTTGCTCTGTCTCTTTATTTTTTGGAGTTACAGACTTAATAGTTCCTTATATCAGTTCGTCCGTGTTATTTGATAGCAGTGAGCTTAAAAATTCATCATTTATGGAAGTGATCTAATGGTCAAACTAATGCCAAAGTGCATGTGTTTGTCCCAGACAGATCAAAACATCACTCGGTGTTTGTTTGTTCCTACAAAGAGAAATGATTTCTGGTGCAGAGTATGTTATTTCTTATAAACTCAGTTATAAGCACAGGTTAATCTGAACTATCTGCTCTAAATATTATTAATATTATTATATTAATATTATTATTAAATTAATATTATTATATTAATATTATTATTAAATATAGAAATTCTGATCCTGCACTTACTATGCACAGGTGGGTACAGGAAGCCCCACTGAACCGGGGTCTGCATGAAATATAGACAGGATCAAAGCCCCAGGAAAGACCACTTTGTGCCATCAGTGGGCTTTTCTTGACTGCTTAGTGTAGTGACACAAAATGGATAATCTAAGTGTCTGATTGATATCACTAAATACTACAATTATACATGGAAGTTTGAATCTCTTTTCTGTGACTTCATAGTATATTGTTTATATCCTGCTTTCTTGAATGAGGCAAATCAATGTCGACGTGAATCTGATCTGAGTATTATATAGTAGTTAAATGAGCTCACCCCAGAGTGTTATTTCATTTAACATATTTATTAGTTTATAAGGAAAATACACTTTTTAATGTTTAATATTTCCATTTATTTTTCCTACAGGCCACTAAACAAGTTAGAAATATGGGAGGATTTAAAGATAATAAGTAAGTGGAAACAAAAGGTTCCATCTGCATAATATTTAGCGTCAATTTCAAATGTCTTTCACGCCCTTTGAAAGGCACACTTCCCATTGTTGTTGTTTCAGTAGATGGGAAGATGGTGTAACATGTTACATGGCAAACCTTTTTCCTGTCTGTCCCCCCCATCCCAAAAGCTCCTCCTGAAGGGATGTTTCGTAGCCCCGAGGGAAGTTAGAAGCTCAGAGGCAAAGAGTTTCACTGAATTTCACTGAATTTTAGAGTTGGAAGGGACCATAGAGATCATCTAGTCCAACTCCCCTGCTGAAGCAGGATTGCCCAGAGCTAGAGCATGTTACTCAGGAGCATCCAGGTGGGTCTTGAAAATCTCCAAGGAAGGGGACTCCACACCCTCCCTGGGCAGCCTGTTCCAGGGCTCCGTCACCCTCACCGTGAAGAAGTTTCTCCTCATATTTGAGTGGAACCTCTTATGTTCCAACTTGTGCCCGTTGCCCCTCGTCCTCTCACTGGGAACCACTGAAAAGAGTCTGGCTCCCTCCCTCCTTCAACCCTCTTCTGTTGGCCTTCATGTTACCCCGCTGAAGAAAACTTTGTGAGAGCTTTTCTGTGCCATCACAGAAAAATCAGACTAGTTTTTCAGAAGTTCTGTGCAGAGCCAACAGAAGCCATCAGTCAGAAGCAGAGGCCAGCCCCAACACCACCAGCAACTTCCTCTCTTCCAGCCTCTTGGAGAGAACCACCACACAGCGGCTGCCAGCCCTTTGGTTCATCTTATTTATTGGCTGGTGGAGGCCGGGGGAGGGAAGGAAGAAGAAGTCAAGTCAGATAATTATGTAGTGAAATACCACTGAGCTTTGTTTATTGCTTTTGATTCCTTGGTACTGTTTGTTACCCCTGCCACCCCCCTGGTTTTGTCTTCTCTTCCTTTTGATTCCATTTCTCCTTTTCACAACACCTTCTGCTTCTGAGCCAGCTCCTTTCTTCCCATGTCCTTGATACTCCAGCACTCAGCCATGTTCATTCATGTCACTTCTTCCACACATCCTCTCTTGCCTACTGGCTGGTAGCTGATGCTCATTTCCATTTTCTTTCTTTAGTTATTAGCTGCTCCGGCCTTAGGTAGCTTTTTTTTCTCAAGCTGGTGTTGCACTTTCTGTGTCTTAATTGCATGATGAGGGCTGTCGTACTGTGTGTATTTCCTGGCCTGTCACTTCTTCCACACATCCTCTCTTGCCTGCTGGCTGGTAGCTGATGCTCACTTCCATTTTCTTTCTTTAGTTATTAGCTGCTCCAGCCTTAGGTAACTTTTTTTCCCAAGCTACTGTTACACTTTCTGTGTCTTAATTGCTTAAATGACAAGGGCTGTCGTACTGTGTGTATTTCCTGGCCTAATGAAGAAAGGTGGTTTGACAGTACATCCCTTTTCCTTCTGGAGCAACTTCTAGAATTTTTATTTTTTCCCCAAATAACTTGTGTAAAGTGCAAAATTATATTAATATAGGACTTTAAATGGGGCACTTCAGATGTAGCTCCAGCACATCTTAGACTCATGACCAACTTGGGGGTGTGTTATGAAAACATGTGTTATGACAACCAATGAGAGAAATGTTGACTGTGGTTTCTTGAGTCCTGGAGAGCCCTCTCCCTCCTTGGTCTGTCCTCCTTTCTTTGACTTGGTGGTGATGTTTGTTGTCTCTCCCCAAGGTTTCACCCGAAGCATCGTGGCTGTGTACAGCACCTGCATGCTGGTGGTGCTGCTGCGGGTCCAGCTGAACATCATCGGTGGTTACATCTACCTGGATAACGCTGCACTCGGCAAGAACGGCACCGTGAGTCCCTCCCATTGCTCCACGGGTTGAACTGCCCGTTTTCTTGGAAGCAAAAGGATAATTCAGTGAGAGACAAAAAGGGCACAGAGTAGGAGTGTTGGGGTGAAAGTGAGAGCTCTTGTACGAGTGGGAGATGGGGAAGCGTCACTGGCAGTAAATACACTGATGTGTTTTATTTGGATGATTTGGCAATACAACTACAAAATACTAGCAATATTGAAGAGCACCTTTTCTCTGCATTTGTATTGCTTAAAGGAGGTCAATTTGTATCTAAACACCAACATGAGATAAATTCTTTGCTTTCATTAATTTTTTGTGAAACAGTAATACTGTGTGAATGATCCAAGATTTGTATGCAAATGTATATAAATGCTTAAGTCTTCCTAGCACATACATTAATCCCCCCTGTTAAATTTTCCTAGGATTAAAGAAGAAAAATGTTATCTTTGAAATTTTGACTATTTTGTTTAACTCCAAAAGCCCCTCTACTTTAAATGTCTGTTGGTGGGGCCAAGCTAGGCAGAAGACTTGGGTTTTATATTTTTTTATATCTAATCACTGCTCAATAAAAATAGATGAATGGCACAGTAAGCACGTACTACTGAGTAAGGTCTGCAAATTGTTGGGTGGCTCATCTAGAAATAACGGATCCAGGCTCTGATTCTGTGATAGCTCCAGCTCAAGGAAGAGCGTGTCAAGGCAGGTCTGAGAAAAGCTCCCATGAGGGAGGCCGGGGTGGATGGAGCCCCTGCTGCACTTGTAAAAACTGAAAATGCTTTTTAAAAAGGGCAAGATGAGTTTGGACTAGAAACGTGTTTCTTCTCTGTTCCTTTCCCAGTGAGAAGTGGGTTGACAGGGCTGACTCCAAGGCTGGGGCAGACTGGGATCCCCTCAGTTCCTGAAAGCTGCTGTTCCATCAGACAGGCTTTCGTTAGGGCCGAGCACAAACACCCTTTTCCCCTGGATTTACTTTTTGGGATGGTGGAGGGTCCAATTTCACCTGCAATGCAGTTTTCTTAAGAGACTTCCCTATAGATGACTGTAAAGTGAAGGACTTTTCTGTGGCACTGAAGGTGGGAGAGAGATCTGGAGAGTCCTGAAGAATGCAAGAGGACTTAGGAAGGGCCCATGGGTTGATGGCAGAGACTCAGAAGCTACAGTTGTGTGAGAATAGGGGAGTCTACCTGCTGCAGGGTATTAGGAAGATGAAGGAAATTGGTCGTGACTGGTTTGAAATGATTGTTGCTTTGTTCTCTACTGCTGACATCTCACAACTGTTGTTTTTTTTCCCCGTAGACACCCCTAGCTCCCCCTGAAGTGCAGGAGCAATATTTATCCAGTATCCAGCACCTGTTAGGAGACGGTATGGTGCTTATCATGAACTAACTACACTTACCAAATTCTACTTTTTTTCTCGACTTGAGCAAATCATTACAATAAATTTGATGCTTTCCTCCTCCTAGGACTGACGGAGTTAATTACTATCGTTAAAGCAGCCGTGCGTAAAGTTTTTGGAAGGTAAGAGTCTGTGTTTCTCTGTAGAGAGATTGTAGATTTTTATTGTGATGACTGTTCCCAAAACAGTGAGTTTCATTAAACTCCCCAAAACAACAACAAAAAAAGACAGGAAGGCAGGCGTACTGACTTCTTCCAAAACAAGTTTTTGATTCTAGCAGGCTGTGTCTGCCACTGCAAACCACTTCAAATCCCAGTAGCAGACTGGGATCCTGCTACTTGGGAAGGTATTAGTGGTAGGAGGACAAAGCATCGTTACACAGGTCCATGCTGTCCTGCAGAGTTGCCTTGACCTCTCCTACCCACGTGAGGAGGACAAAGCATCATTACACAGGTTCATGCTGTCCTGCAGGGTTGCCTTGACCTCTCCTACCCATGTCCCACACAGCAAGTGGCTTCCCTCCTTGCTTTGGGGTCCAGAAACCAGTGGACCACCAAACTATTCAAGAGTCTTCAGGGAAAAGTTCAGTCTTTAGACTGAACATTAGGAAGGAATTTTTCACAGAAAGAGTGGTCAGACACTGGAATAGGCTGCCCAGGGAGGTGGTTGAGTCACCGTCCCTGGAAGTGTTTAAGGGACGTTTAGATGCGGTACTGAGGGATATGGTGTAGGGGAGGACTTTGTAGAGTAGGGTAGATGGTTGGACTCGATGACGGAGTTAATTACTATCGTTAAAGCAGCCGTGCGTAAAGTTTTTGGAAGGTAAGAGTCTGTGTTTCTCTGTGGAGAGATTGTAGATTTTTATTGTGATGACTGTTCCCAAAACAGTGAGTTTCATTAAACTCCCCAAAACAACAACAAAAAAAGACAGGAAGGCAGGCGTACTGACTTCTTCCAAAAGAAGCTTTTGATTCTAGCAGGCTGTGTCTGCCACTGCAAACCACTTCAAATCCCAGTAGCAGACTGGGATCCTGCTACTTGGGAAGGTATTAGTGGGAGGAGGACAAAGCATCATTACACAGGTTCATGCTGTCCTGCAGGGTTGCCTTGACCTCTCCTACCCATGTCCCACACAGCAAGTGGCTTCCCTCCTTGCTTTGGGGTCCAGAAACCAGTGGACCACCAAACTATTCAAGAGTCTTCAGGGAAAAGTTCAGTCTTTAGACTGAACATTAGGAAGGAATTTTTCACAGAAAGAGTGGTCAGACACTGGAATAGGCTGCCCAGGGAGGTGGTTGAGTCATCATCCCTGGATGTGTTTAAGGGCCGTTTAGATGGGGTACTGAGGGATATGGTGTAGGGGAGGACTTTGTAGAGTAGGGTAGATGGTTGGACTCGATGATCCCAAGGGTCTCTTCCAACCTGAATGATTCTATGATTCTACTTGTGTTGCGATCAACATTGCAGTCTTTTTCTTTCCCAGCATCTCCCTGAAGCACACCCTGTCTCTCCTGGATCTGGAACAGAAACTTAAAGATATCAGGAAAGCGGTGGAACATAAAGATTCAGATCAGACTGAGTCTTACTCTCCCTTATGTCACTATCTGATGCCAGATGAAGAAAACCCTTTGGCTGCCCAGGTACTTGTTCCAGTTTCTTTCATCTACCTCTTTTCGTTCTGCGTGTACCGTGGCGTCTCTCTCTTTGATAAACGGCGATGGCTTTTCCATCATAAATCCATAAATCAGAGGAACACAGCCCCATTACTGCTTCTGGCCTGTGAAACGTGCTGTAAGAGAGTGCATTTTCACTCAGCACTGAAGTCAGTTGCATTTCCTGGCCCTTGTGTGCCAGCAAAGGTCTTGGATGGTTGTAGCTTCTTGGCTGAAGGCCCAAGGAGGTGCTGGTGTGCTGCAGCCCTTTGGTGCTTTGGGCTGGAAGAGGAGTCAAGGGAAAGGTGCATCTCATCTGAGTCATAACATTAATTTCCTACATTTTCTAAAGGTGTTTGTCTCCACCCATGGAGCTGGGGAAAATTCATCCTTAACTTGGCATTAGTCTAGTGTAAGGACAGGACTCAGGCTCCAGCACGTGACCACGTGCACTGACTCCTGTGACTGAAGCTGATGCACAGGGTTTATTTCAGTTTTGAAGGTCAGAGGTGGAAGAAATATTTTGCTCAATTAGTCTGGTATTTCCTGCTAATACTGGTTTTAGTTAAAAAAGAAAATCCTACAGTGATCATTTAAAAGGAAAATTAGAACACAGATTATAAAGCATCTGATTTAGGACAATACATCTTTTCTTTTAATTAGATTTGACTTGTACATCTAGACTTAATCATTTTACGACAATACATCTTTTAACTAGATTTGACTTGTACATCTAGACTTAATCCATAGTACAAAACTATTTCTACTCTTATTCTTACGGTTGCCAATGGATCTCTTACTAAATAGTGTCTGTCTTTGCTTTTTCTAGGCCTGTGGACTCACAGAAAAAGACATTGCTACAATTAAATTACTTAATGAAACTAGAGATATGCTAGAAAGGTACAGAGAAACACCCTGTATTCATATTAATCTCCTCACCACTCTTGTTTATGTAAGACAATTATTTTCATATAAGAAGCTGTGAACTTTGTGAAATGTGACCACTCTGCTGCATTATATTTTTATATTCACTACTTGTTGGCTGGGATTTTCAAAGTTTGAGAGCTCTGAAACTCATTTATAAGAAATAATCCAGCCTTAACGAGATGACCAGGATGTGGAGTTACTGGGGAGCTGGTCTGTCAGGAGGTGGCTGCACTAATGGCCTTTTGTCTGGGTCATGGTCCCTTAGGGGAGGGATGGCTGTGGCACTGAATACCTGCAGGGTTTTTTAGTTTGAAAAAACAAATCCCAGGAATCGAGCCACTTAATTTTTATTTTCTTTTTTTTTCAGTCCAGACTTCAGTACAGTTTTGGGCACGTGTTTAAATAGAGGATTCAGTCGATTGCTGGACAACATGGCGGAGTTTTTTAGACCTACTGAACAGGACCTCTCGCAGAACGGCTCTGTGAATAGGTAAATGTTTCCTTCTGTTGGGGTTCTCGGGTGAATAACGCCTTCCTTCCAAAAAAGACTCTGGATTTTCCTGCCTACTTGAAGTTCTCCTCACTTTGGTCACGTAGACACCTGGGAGCATTGCATGTTTCTTCCCAGCCGTTACCTACAGACCTAGAAGTAGAAATGAGATGACCTGTACCTTCCACTTCTTGCCTTGAACCCTGCACGGGCACAGCCTCTCTAGGGCAGGATTTACCCCACAGAGGGTGATGACTGAAGCTGTAGCTCAGCATCTCCCCTGCAAGGCTGGCACAAGGACAGTGTCCCCCCAGGGCAGCACATCAGCTCCCTGCGCCCCAAACTCTGACTCAGCTGCTGTAGATCCCAAGGAAGGTGATCATTGCCTCGATTCCCCAAATCCTCGTAGCCAAAGCACCTACAGGTTCTTTGCTGCTCTGCTGGAAAAAGAGATATTAACATTCAGGATCTTCTGCCTCTTCCTAGAGGACTGTTTGTTTGAAAATAGCTTTTATTCTGAAGTGAACTTTGGTTTTAAGCAGTGCAGTGAGAGTGTTACAAATCCAAAAGCTGAGTCCAGATCCTTGAAATATGATTTCTAATGTATTAAAATTAAAACCTTGAATAACAACTGGGTTTATGTACATTTAATAACCGATGGCTCTCAAAGAGTAATACTTTTATTTAAATCCAGTGCAGTGAGTGTGTTACAAATCCAAAAGCTGAGTCCAGATCCTTGAAATATGATTTCTAATGTATTAAAATTAAAACCTTGAATAACAACTGGGTTTATGTACATTTAATAACCGATGGCTCTCAAAGAGTAATACTTTTATTTAAATATATACTGTTACATCATTTAAAATACCCCAAAGGCTGTAGATGGCCCGTCTGTCCTAAGCCTTAGGCTGGGAGTATTGCATGTTTCTTCCCAGCCAGGGAGGTATCTTTCCCACTGTTACCTGCAGATCTAGAAGTAGAAATGAGATGACCTGTGCCTTCCACTTCTTGCCTTGAACCCTGCACGGGCACAGCCTCTCTAGGGCAGGATTTACCCCACAGAGGGTGATGACTGAAGCTGTAGCTCAGCATCTCCCCTGCAAGGCTGGCACAAGGACAGTGTCCCCCCAGGGCAGCACATCAGCTCCCTGCGCCCCAAACTCTGACTCAGCTGCTGTAGATCCCAAGGAAGGTGATCATTGCCTCGATTCCCCAAATCCTCGTAGCCAAAGCACCTACAGGTTCTTTGCTGCTGTGCTGGAAAAAGAGATATTAACATTCAGGATCTTCTGCCTCTTCCTAGAGGACTGTTTGTTTGAAAATAGCTTTTATTCTGAAGTGAACTTTGGTTTTAACCAGTGCAGTGAGTGTGTTACAAATCCAAAAGCTGAGTCCAGATCCTTGAAATATGATTTCTAATGTATTAAAATTAAAACCTTGAATAACAACTGGGTTTATGTACATTTAATAACCGATGGCTCTCAAAGAGTAATACTTTTATTTAAATATATACTGTTACATCATTTAAAATACCCCAAAGGCTGTAGATGGCCCGTCTGTCCTAAGCCTTAGAGTTTGAAATAGTGTGAGAGTGTAGACTTTTAGCAACTGTTCACATACACACCCGTGTAAAGACTTGGGCTAAACCCTCTTTCTCTTGGGTGAGAAGCAAGTGTGAAACTGTGCGCAATAGGACACCAACTGAAATTTGCTTTGGTGCTTCTGTTAAAGCTTTGATAAGGAAAAAAAGTTCCTAAGTTTATCTGTACCTTTTAGTTCGCAGTCTTTCCACTCCTGCTTTTGAAGTAGCAGTTGTTTAGAATTGAAATAATCAAAGTTTAGTGGCTTTACTAATGTCAGAGCAGGCCGAGGTCAATATTTGGTTTTTTTTTTTTCTAGTCTTTCCAGTGTCAGTCTTCCTTTAGCCAAGATAATTCCAATAATCAATGGGCAGATCCATTCGGTGTGCAGTGAAACACCCAGTCACTTTGTTCAGGTAAGAATCTTGCTTATTTAATGTATCCCAAGTCAAATTTTGAAATGAATGGTGTGTATTTCTTTTTAATAATGTACTTCATTCTGTTTCAATTCGGTGGCTTTAAAAAAAAAATAAATCGAAACAATTAGCATTAATTTGTTTTGTATCTTCCAAAAATATGCTATTTTACTAGAACATCTCCCCTCTGCTAAACCGTGCAGAAGCACAAAAAGGCCTCTTGACTTGGTCCTACTTGTAGTTCTTTAGAGTATTTTTTCATCTTCCAGGAAGATGAAACTTCCAGGGAAGTTGTGGCTGCCCCATCCCTGGAGGGGTTCAAGGCCAGGCTGGATGGGGCTTGGAGCAACCTGGTCTGGTGGGAGGTGTCCCTGCCCAGGGCAGGGGGTTGGAACTGGATGATCTTTGAGGTCCCTTCCAACCCGAACCATTCTATGATTCTATGATCTGCCTGGCTGAAACTGGAGGTCCATCTCAGTGGGAGGGCTGGGTGAATCCTGGGCTGCAGCAAGACCAGAACAGTGGGGGATGTGTTTGATTTAAGCAAATTTATCCTTTAAATTTCTTGCAGGACCTGTTGATGATGGAACAAGTGAAAGATTTTGCTGCTAATGTTTATGAAGCTTTTAGTACCCCTCAGCAACTAGAGAAATGAACTGCACATTTATAGGACTAGATTGTGTATTTATAACAAATCCCTTGTGACTACTGATGAGACTTGGGTTAATTTTATAACGGTGTAGGAGGGACAGACCAGCAGAAAGAACATTCTGAAGGAGAAAAAAAAAATAAGTGGGAGTGAGCCCAGATTTCTTCTAATAGAATTCTGTTTCAAACACCCATTAAAAATATTCTTGTTAAAAGAATCATTGTATGTAAAGACTTTTCTATTAAAAAAAAATGGTTAAACTCTTCCATAATTCATTATTTTTATTGCATCTGAAAGGCATCTGGGGGCAGTATTGCAACAAGTTATTTGCCTTGGGGGTGGAGGTTTTGGAAAAAAATAAACCACCTAGTGATAGTGTTCTAAGAATAGCAGAGAGTAGCAGAATGAAGTAAGGCTGTTTGTTTCTCCCAAATTTTTCTTTTTTGTAAGGAAAAAAAAACTTTCCTCTTAACTTACCAAATGTTATTCCAAAGAGTCTCATTCTTCAGAAAGCCTTTGCCAACTGCTGCGTGTTCCTCTTGAAGAAGCCGAGGAGGGTGCTCTCTCTGGTACTTAGTACTAAAGGAATGTGGGTTTTTTAGAAGTTCTCTCGTTTCTGCTGTTCAAACAGCTACACTGTACACATTAACTTGTAAATATTTTATCTTAATTTGTATTAATTTTGAACCCAATTGTCTGTATTGTAATAAAATATTTTAATGTAAAATTTGTGTGTGTGTGTGTGTGTTAACATTACAGCAGGGCAGGCATTAATAATCTCCTTTGGCCCACCACTTATAATATCAAGATTTTGAGTTTTGTTCTTTCAATTTAATACTAG